GTTTAATAGGCCAAACCACACTGACCGGTGGATCTGCATCTCCAATCGCAGCGAAATCGTTTCCTCGCTCCTACATCTTCCACCCTATGACCCGGACACCGATCGAACTCAGCTGTCTAATGAACTAATGATCGAAACGTAGGGGAAAAAATCAGAAGTCGTTGAAATGTTGGCTTATCTTAATAAGATATGGTTTATATTCTTTATTTAGTACATAAATGCAAAACTTACCCTTCATCAAGTCTCAGACTCACAGTCAAATGTTTGCCTATAAAAAGAGAAAAACATATGTAAGGGGGAAAAAAAACAAAAAACTTTAAAGTGGTTCAAATATTGACTTATCTTAAGATATAGTTTATACTCTTTATTTGGTACAGAAATGCAAAACTCACCCTTCATCCAGTCTCAGACTCACAAGCGTGTGCCTGTAAAAACAAAACAAAAAATTATTCAACTTAAATTTATTTGTAAACAACACACACACAAGCAAAGACATTTCCTATACAACAGCCTTATAACCCATTAATAATCTGAGTTGCCTAAAAAAAAAAAATATTAAGATGGATGGTGATCCTCACTGTAATGTGCTCAGTCATAGCCTACAAAGGGAGGTAAACGGGAAATTGTTGGTTACTTGCTAATTACAGTTAAGCCCAAAGATGTAAGTTACACAACACTTTTACAGACTTTTTGTTCATGATTAAAATATGACCAATTCATACAACATAATGCATTTGTTTGCATTTATTGTTACCTGTAATCTGTTACCAGTAAGCAATTTGCAATCGTAAAACTAAATTATATATAAAATATATGATGGCCAATAAAATAACGAATGGCACAGAAAACGAGCTTGTGAGGAACAGATGTAACGTTAGGCCTAACTTACAGTGCGTCCAACTGAATGTAACGTTGACTTTAAAAATCAAGTTGAATCTAGTATAACTTATAAAAAAAGTTGAAATTGCTTAAATTATTTTTATGAGTTAAAGTAACTTAAAAACATAAGTTGTCATGGCTTTTTCATCATATCATTTTTGACAGTGTAACAGTCCTATCAATGCCCCTTCCTCACATCTAATCATCTAGCAGCAGCACAGTTGTATTACTAGAATATGAAATAGGTGAAATATTTCAATGCAAGCATTTCAGTCAAATATAATGTATGCAATATTATTACATTTAAAACTAAAAAGAATTAGTATATTAAAATGTAAATGAAAATGTAACCGGTTGTTCCCTCGTTTTAGTAGTCGTGGGTCAAAGGGTAAACATTTTTCTGTGTGATGGGTCCTAAATTATGGAATAGTTTTCCTTTCCTTCAATATTAGCCATTTTTAAATAGTTTTTAAAAACACATTTATTCTGTAGCTTTTAAATTCATTCTTGAATAGGTTGAAGTGGATTAATACATGATGCTGTATTTAAATGTTCTAATTTATTGTATTATGTTTTATATTTCATTTTATATATATATATTTTTTTTTTTTGCTTGATCTGTAAAGCACTTTAGGCCAACTTTTGTTTGTTTGCAAATGTGCCTTATAAACAAAGTTATTTTATTGTATAGTTAAATCAAAATGAGGGAACAAATTAGTGCAAAGTGGCCATGAATTAAAAAGTAATGAGAACAGGTACTTCAAGGTCCCCTGAAACGCTTAGAAACACGCAGCGTTACTCTGTGTTGACGTCATTTTAACTGGTGGCCATGATAATATAATTTTTTTCACGCATGACTTTTTGAAATGCGTCAGCATGACATCAGAGCAAGTCAGATGACATTGGGACATATTTCCAACTGGCATGCATCTTGACCAGTTGATGATTGGTTCTGCGCGGATTTTAATAGTCAGTTTTTAACAGTTGTTCACTGTATATATCCAGATACATAAATGTGATATATATTAATCTTGTGTTAATCAAAACAGGGAGACTCTGGAGGTCCATTGGTTACTAGGAACGGCTCCCTGTGGATTCAGTCCGGCGTTGTGAGTTTTGGTATTGGATGTGCTGACCCCAGATATCCCGGTGTGTACGCCAGAATCTCTCAGTACCAGGACTGGATCACCTCTACCATAGGCAGCAACCTACCTGGATTTGTCGAATTCAACAACAATGGATTCAGAAGCGCACCCAACCTCCTTTTAATTCCCATTTCTCTCACATTCTCCATCATTCCTTTCATATGCTCCCTATATCTCTCTTCGTAGAGATAGTTTGAATGACAGTCCTCAGGGTTCTTTGATTAAGAGGACAACTGTGCTGTACAAGTTTTCATAAATATGTGAAGTAGGTGCATAGTCATATTGTCGTTTGTTCTTTATCTTTTTAAAAATGTACTATTCTTGGAAAGCTCTTACTCTTATTTCCTGCACACTAATGAAGTTCAGCAAGCTTTTGCCCTCGGAATTTTTGCATAATGAGAGTGGAGTTTGTGATATTTGGCCTAAATAGGAGACATAAGTGATGCTTGCAATTATAATGCATAGCTAATTATTGTCTTCACTTTGAATTTATTTTTTGAGAGACTATTGTATTTTTATTGACTGATTGTATTAAAAAAAATAAAAATACCGCAGCCACTTGTGTATTAAAGTTTTATATTATTTACAATAACACTTCATCTCAGGGTCTGAATAGTAATTAAAGCATGCGTGCTCTGCATTGTGTTTAGAGATACTGGTTATTGAAAATCGAACCAGTAAAAAAAAAAACAACAAAAACAAACAAACAAACTTTATATGACTTCATATTTCTCAGTGTGACTCAAATAATTAATGGATGATCAAATAATTTATCTCTTTCATGTCCTTTACAACAGTAGACAAGAGAGATCAATCATTTAATTGATTGTATTGATTAACCATTTAAATCTTATAATCATGTTGAAATGTGAGTATCAAATATTATGCATGAAGCTTCTGAGGATTGTTTAATTGTTCATCTCTCAATCATAATTGTATTGCATTGCATTATGTTTTGCCCCTCACAATAAAAACTACAGAGCTTTAATCATAAAACTAAGCATCTAAATATTATTTTAGTAAGACAAATTATTGGGAGATATAGAGTGATAATTGATATTTATATTCATTAAGCAGTCTGCTCTACTGATATAAAGACCTCAGTGATTTACATTACATCAGAATTTCATCTTTTGGCCATATAAATGTTCAAAAAACCCAAACTGCATATTGCTGCTCAGGTTAGGCCTCTGAATAAAAATGAGGTGTTTCTTCTCATCGAGTCTGAGATCCATATTCTCCTAATCATACTCCTAATCATACCTAATCAATGAGCCATAAAAGCCTGATGTAGCAAACAAAGTTCCATACATTAAAAAAAGTGATTCCCTAAAAGTGAGGCCTATTCCAGAGATCAAAGTACTGATGCCATGTTGTTGCAACATAATATCCATACACTGTAAAATCTAATTAGTTGGGCTTACTTAAAAAAAGCATGCAAACCGATTGCCTTGAAAAAACGAAGTAAAGTGAAATAGGAATAGTATGTTGTACTGACAGATGCTTAGTTAGTATAGTTTACTTACACGAGAGTTCTAGTAACTAAAAAAGAACTGTAGGGGAATCAGGGTATCTTCCGTCCATTCCAAATCCGTTTTCAATTAAAAAAACAGAAAACGAAAAAACTAATCGTTTTTTAATTTATCATTTTATTGCCTTTGTTTAATATTTACTTAAAGTTATATTTTTCTATTCTGCCAGACACATAATCTACTCTAAATAATGGATTTTAGAATATTGGCCTAAAAATGGAATATGACATTTTGATTTTTTAACTAAGCTGTGACCCGGAAGTTCACGCGCCGGGACGAATGGAAACGGAAGAGTGCGGATGCCGAATTCAGTCGCGAAACTTCCTTCAAGCAAGCCATGGATACATACACGCTTTTCAAGGGTCCTAAGAGGGTAACTTTAAAGGACGAAGACATGACAACTGATAAGATTGGCCGTATATTTCAGGTAATGATTTAGATTTTTTTTTTTTTAATAAAACGTATCACCTATATAATATATATATTATTTTAAGTAAGTGTCACTCAAAACAGTAAGTAAATTGTTTTATTTGCCTTGAAAGTAGCTGTAACTTAATAAAACCTAGTAAGTATAACAACTAAGTAAAGATAACTAACTAAATCTAAGTAAGGTAAACTATTGGATTTTACAGTGTACATACACTCAACATATAGCCAACAATGTTGACTGGAGTAAAATATGTAACAACTAACTTTCCCAAGATGCGTTAAGTAGTAACATACGATTGGCCTGTGTATGAAACGAGTGTATAAAATCGCCATTTAATGGCAGCAGGTGGCAAAGTGACATTCAAGTACTCAACATACTCAAATTAGAAGCATTAGAGAAGCATCAAGACATCAAAGATGAACAGGGTGTGTACTAAAAACAGTGGCAGCAGGCTAGAAGGAAAAACAAGGTGTGTCAGAGGTTAACAATACAGGGTCCTACTGAATGCGGCAGCACTTGCTTTACTCGTCATTAGACATTTCTCAGTAAAGGAATCAGCAAACATTACACAGACAATAACATGAGGATGACGTTGTGTCAAGCTATGTGTTTTGCAGGAGCCATACTTCTTAACATAACAGGTAAGATCTGATATGACACTGCAACAAATAATAGGCGAGTTCTTGTTTAATAACTTCGGTTTAACCTTACAATAAAATACATTAAAGTTGTATTTTGGTTTAAATTATGTAGGCCTATTCGCCACAAGATGATGGGACACCTTTTGTTCATTAACTTCTATTATTTTCTTTGTAACACCTACAATTAATACCTGAAATGAATGTTACTTCTTCGTTCAAAATTCAGAGTAGTAAAGTGCAATATCAGTATAATATTAAAAGTAAATGGAATTAGTTTGAATAATTTTTCATGGCTTGACCGATGAATGGTTTTCAGTCTAACCTATATTACATTCTTAAACACAAGCATAATTATTTCTGATGAAAAACCTTTTGAAAATAACAAGGCTACAATGAAATTGGCTGTTGGCTTTTTTCTTTTCATTTCTTTTCATTTTTTAAAAATAAAATAAGAGCATTTAAGAGTTGTTTATGAGTCTATAATCACAAAAACACAATTTTCATGTACAGATATTCTTTCTATGTTGCAAAAACTTAAGTGAGCTCAATCACTGGTAGGCCTATATGTTCTTAAAGAAAGATAGATAATGTTCAAAACTGTACAAATAAATATATCATTTGTTTTTCTGACAGCTCTTACCAAAAAGTAGTATACTTCAAGTTTATTTTAGTAAGTATACTTAAGTAAAGTTCAAGTATATTTTTAAGTATACTTTATGTAGTAAGTATACAAATATCGGTGTACTAGTAGTATACTTGTAAGTGTACTATTTCAATACTCCTTGGGACTAAATTGGCCCACTTTCTAATATATAAAAGTATACTTTTAAGTATAACAGTAGTAAACTTTAAGTACACAACTAGTTTACAACAATATTTTTAGCTTGTACTGCAACTATACTAAAAGTGAACTTATAGGTACACTGATGGTTTACTAATGAAATACTTGTAGTAGCATTTTTAGTACACTTTGAAGTATAGTCTCAGTAAACTACTAGTTTAGTAGTTTTATACTGCAAGTATACTCGTAAGTTTTCTTTAAGTGAACTTTACATCATACTTTAAGTATACTACTATGTCCCTATTTAGGTATTAATTTGTATATATTTTGTTACATGAATATCTGAACATACAAAACATCAAAAGAACAGGGTATCTGCTTGTAAAAAAAATTTGTTATTCTAGCTTCATGCATTCTTTTTTTAAACACTTGAATGTAGATAAGTTTCATAAATAAAAAATAAACAAATAAACAACATTTTGAACAAAAAGCTGAAAAAAGACTATGAATTGGATTCAGAACGATAATCAAAACGTAGATAAAGTCGATCAACACCCCAAAGCTTGACAGTTATTATTACCTCTTCATTGGTCGACATTTTATTCCATAATGTTACATAGTTTTGATACTGTTTTATGTCTGATGATCGTGTTAGAATACATGTGGAAGCATCTGTTGTTTCGGTTTCTTCTTCACTTGTGTTTTTTGGAAATTCTGTACAGAAGATGTGTACTAGCACAAGTCAATACAGTCATGTAGCAACGATCACATTTGTAATTCTACAGAGCTTGTGATCGCAAGTAGCCCTGACTTTATTCGGGAGCTTCTTCCATCTGCTCAGCGTACGGCTTTGCTCTACCATCTCTCTTACCTCTGCTTGGCTAATTTCCCCAAGTTGGAGAGGGAACTCAGAAAACGTGCTGTTGAAACCCAGCTACTCTTTGGGTCTTCTGAAGTTCTTCTGCTGAAGGTAAAGATTAGATTAGATTAGATTCGATACAATTGGATTAGATTAGATTAGATTAGATTTTACTTTTCTGTCATTATGCAGAGTACAAGTACACAGCTATTGAAATGCAGTTAGCATCTAACCAGAAGTGCAAGAATATAGTGTTTTATATACAGATAAGGGCCGAGTAAGAAGCTATAACTTACAGTATGTACAGTGGAGTTGCAATATACAATATTAAACAGAGTATGTACATAATATAAAAAGGAGTGCATGAAGGGTCATATGTACAGTATGAACAGCAGCAATGTAAGAACAGTGGTAATAAATACAGAAAGTTGTATGTGCAATAGTATTGTTAAACAATGTATAGTATATGCAAAATATGAGCAGTGTTGTGCAAGTTACTTCCAAACTGTAATACATTATTTATAATATTACTGTCTCAGAATTGTAATATGTTACATGACTCCTGTATTACTTTTGAGTTACTTTCACCAAAATAACTACAGAAGTAGAACTTAACATTCTAAAATGACAAAATGTATTGCAGAGCATTTTAAATCCAGTAGAGGGCAATATGGTGTAATAATGACTGTGGGCTATCCAGGCTACTAAAAATATAGCTTATAATTGTCAAAGTGAAGGCTCAAGACAATGCAAGAAAGGATGACAGCCAGAATCACAAACGATCCAAGTCTGTTAAAAGTATGGTAGAGGTAAAGTGATTATCTGGCAATATCTGTGAATAGCTTGGATCTATTCATATTAGACACAACAGGATTATATGTAAACTCTAATGCCATGAAAAGATGCGTATACGTCCATCTCGCGAATGTACAGTCTTCTGCCATCTTCACCCATTAGCTGCTTTTCAACTGGACAGTGCGAGCCGGGGCTTACAGCGAGCCAGGTGGGGCTAATAGCCTCGGACCTCGAGCACAGAGGCCGAAATCATGCCGCGTTTCCACTGTCGGGCCAGTAGCCTCGCGGCACTCCTGTAAAACCCGCCCTAAACACGCCTTCACTGGACTACGTCACACAATACAAAGTTCCACCAGCGAGAGGGAGATGAATGAAATAAATCGCTAAACAAATATATCAGAAGCTGTCGTTTAGTCTTTATTTACAAACTTGGACACCACACGCTAAACAACATTTTGAACAAAAAGCTGAAAAAAGACTATGAATTGGATTCAGAATGATAATCAAAACGTAGATAAAGTCGATCAACACCCCAAAGCTTGACAGTTATTATTACCTCTTTATTGGTCGACATTTTATTCCATAATGTTGCACAGTTTTGATATTGTTTTATGTCTGATGATCGTGTTAGATTACATGTGGAAGCATCTGTTGTTTCGTTTTCTTCTTCACTTGTGTTTTTTGGTAATTCTGTACAGAAGATGTGTACTAGCGCCCTCTACAGTATAACAATGAAAACATGGATTCTAGGAGCACAATTATAGCTAAAATATATTTAGACTTTTTCTAAGTATAAGTCAAGTATACTTAAATGTCATTTTAAGTATATTTCTGAGAAGTACATAAAGCCCATTTCTGAGAAGTACATAAAAAGTAGACTAAAAGTATACTTTCCTATTTTTAGTTTAAAAGAAGTATACTAAGTAATAGCACACTTGAATAAACTTCTTTTTCGTAAGGGAGTGTATGCACCCTCAAGTCTTTGCAAACTCGTATTTCTTTTCATGTGGGAAAACAAAAAGGTAAATTTGTGAAGAATATTCTGGCAACTCTCTTAATGTAATGCAAGTGAAAGAGGACTGGATCTAAAGTTACAAAAATGCACCATAAAGGATTAAAAAAAAAAAAGATCAAAATATATTTAGTTATTAAGTTTTTTAAATTGAAAATCTTGAAATCCAGCTTTGCTCTTCTTTGAGAGTTCATGATAAGGGTAGCGATTAGTTCACAAAACTGTGACTAGCGCGTGATTCCAAATATCTCCATACAGTCATACTGTTTGAAATGAGATTAAGAGTAAAAGATTTTTATTTTCAGGTAAACCAAGTCTTTAATACTATTGACATGAATGAAAACACAGATAACACGCTACTCAAAGAACCAGTTTATCAGCTCTGTGTCGGCGCATCTACTACACCCGCGTACCTGTGTGAACCAGTTCTGAACTAAAGTCATTGTCAAGAAAACTAACACACAGAACAATACCATTAATTTGTATAGTCTCTAATCCATTTAACAACTCAAAATGTTGTTATTTCTCCATTTTTCTTTTTACAGGCTCACTTTGTCAGTTAGATGGTAAGTTTCTGTGCTCTTAATGCCCATACAAACACTTTCAACAAAATGATGACACAAAGTAACGCGGGGTAAATTGTAACACACGTAGTTTAAATATTTCCACACATGCTAGCATAACCAAATGTTCAGCAATCTCTGTAGTTACCATATCAACATTATAGAGAGAAAAAAAGTGCACCAAAATTCAAAAGTTTTTTGAAGATATCGCTGAACATTTATTTTTACCATAGTAAAATTATATTTCTGGCTTAAGTACATTTTTCATCTCAGTTTTTATTACTCATTTAAAATGAGACAAATCTGCTATTATTTTAATCTCCAATCTGTTATTTATCAGTTTAGATTATTTTTTAATGCTTCGCTAACTATCAGAAGACAGTAACCGATATGGTCATGTTACAACGTGCCCCTCAGCTGTTACAATGTACCCCACCTACGGGGCATGTTGTCACATTTCACTTCCAATTTTTGAGGGTAAATAAAAAAAAAAACGTATACACTGTAATTATGAAACAAAGCGACATATTTGTACTAGACAAGTGTGAAATTACTGTGGATAAAAAAATTATACTCTGAACCCTATGTGGATTTACACAAACTGAGAAAGTCAAAAAGTGTTACTTTGTGCCCCGCTCTCCCCTAGTTTAATTTACCTAATTTGTGTTTTGATTTAATTCGTCTGGAATTAATGAATTAATTATTAATCTTCCACAATAATAAAGATATATTAATAATTTGATATATACTGTATATAAATGTAATATATTTAATAACAACTTAAGATTATTCAAAAAGACAATTTTATGTTGATTTCAACCAGAAAACTCAGCCTTCTTTTCTCTCATCAGTGTGCGGTCAGGCTCCTCTCAACACCAAGATTGTTGGAGGACAAGCTGCAGTTCAGGGGTCTTGGCCGTGGCAAGCAAGCCTTCATAGAATTACGTCTGGAAGTCATTTCTGTGGTGGGAGTCTAATCAATAAAGACTGGGTTTTGTCTGCAGCTCACTGCTTCCAGAGGTATGAAGTGATATATAATATAACACTATGTAGATAGATGGTAGAGGAATTAAGACTGATATTTGTCTCTATTTACAGCACCGCTGTGTCTAATGTAAAAATCTACCTCGGCCGTCAACTCCAAACGGGCTCAAACCCGAATGAGATCTCCAGGACAGTGACTCGGCTCATCACCCATCCCAGCTATAGCACAACTACCCAAAACAATGACATAGCACTGCTGCAGCTCTCCTCTTCTGTGACGTTCACTGATTATATTAGGCCAGTTTGTCTGGCGGCTGCTGGTAGTGTATTTGGTGGAGGTACTAAGAGTTGGATCACTGGATGGGGCAAACTCAAATTTGCAGGTGAGTTCAATCGAACACGTCTATGATTCAAACTTTGTATAGTGTCACAACCAAAAAATGATTAAATTTTTTCCACCATGCCATTTATGTTAAAGACACCCAGATTCCAAACATACTGCAGGAGGTGCAGATACCAATTGTAAGCAACAGTGTTTGTAATAAGGCCTACGGAGGAATCATTACAAGCAACATGCTGTGCGCTGGACTAGATGAGGGTGGAAAAGATTCATGTCAGGTACGATATCACTAACTACAACTTTTTACACTGACTTATCCCTGGGTTATCGTCTTTCTAAACCCCGCTTTTATCCCTTGGTAAAGCAGTTTACACTTGTAATATAGATGTGGTGTTAGCAACGCTTTTGCCCTGCATGGGGTTATGAATCCCTGCTCCGGACTGCAGTGTCAAACTTGTACAGTGAGAAATGATGCAGTGTTCGATTCAGTTTAGCCCTGTTGTGAGGTTAAACTGGCTTTACCTTGTATACTGTCAGAGATATTAACATGACATTATCTTAACCTATGCAGGGAGACTCTGGAGGTCCAATGGCAAATAAGAACAATTCCCAGTGGATTCAGTCTGGCATTGTGAGTTTTGGGCAAGACTGTGGAATACCCAAGTTCCCTGGTGTTTATACCAGAGTGTCTCAATACCAGTCTTGGATCAGCTCTCAAATAAGCAGCGATCTACCAGGATTTGTCTCATTCACCTCCACTGAATCAAGCTCAGGCTCACCCAGTCTCCTCTTATTTTCCCTTTCTCTCACATCATTAATCATTCCTCTGATTTTCTCCTTATTTGTATTTTCTTGATTTTTATTATTTCATTTTGGTTATGCTTTAATACATTAGAGTATTCGTATTCTTTAAAATATAGTACTACTAGTGTACTATTAGTATGTATGTGTAGGCCTATATATAGGAAATCTTGATATAGACCCTTTGTCAACATGAATAAATACAAATCCACTGCAGTCACTTTGAATTCAAATAAAGTTTTGCTCAATTACAATAACAGTGTACAGTAATCTAATACTTTGCACTCTGTAATAGAAACGGAAGAAGTGTAACTTATGCACACTGATGGCCCCAGATGTATAATTTATCTGAAACCTGTACTTGATTTCCTCTTTTTCCATGTTATATAAACCAAATAAATGAGAAAAAGCTATTGAGCTATGAGTTGGGGGTCTAGTCTAATTGTTTGTACTGGCAGATGACACCTAGCTGATTTTGCTTGGAGTTCACGCACTGCAAAGTTTAGTTAAGACTGCCATCTAGTGCTGTGGCAGAGGACCTGCAGGCTCAAACTCATTCATTAACTGTGCGTACGCAGGAATTTTTGCTTTGGTACTACCTCTGATAAGAATTAATGTTTCAGCTTTCAGATTCTGCCCATGTTATCACAATATTCAAACAAAACAAGTCGGAAACAAGTCGGTATCATTGCCAATATGTGAAAAAGAAACCCGAAAACTAACAAATTTATGCACACACATACTGTATACTGCCCCAAAAGCATACAGTACATTGAACACAATTTGACATTATGTGACAACATGCCTCAGTACATGTATATGAATAGGCCTACACTTTAATTAAAACCATTTAAAACCATTGATAATGTCTGTTTACCCTCCTTGTTTTTGCAATTTTTATTTCTGTTCTAGTTTTGCCCGATTTTTTTTTGTGGGTTAGAAAAAAAAAATAAAAAATAAAAAATATTAATAAATAAAAATTATGACCACATCTCCTCATTTGTGTATCACTGTCTGAACGTAGGTTTTGATGTAAAAATTTAACTTTATGTTAAAATACCACAAATGAATGCCCGTGCATCTTCCCTGCTGCCTTAGCAGTTTTTAAATGCTATAAAAGTAGTATGTCTGCATATTGTTCTTCTTAAAATGTTATGCATGATGAGAGATCTTGCAGCATAGACAGCGATGTTTAATATTTGTGCTTTGTATGTAGGTGTTACGGCCAAAATGGCAATATGTGAATGGAAAAATCAAGTCTGGAATCATCTGTGCTCAAAATGTATTTAGCTGTAGATTGTTTCCTTTGTTGCCAAACAGGCACTTTTACATGCATTACACTTTCTCCTTGGTTTATTTTGCTTTAACCAGGGGTGTTCAATCCTGCTCCTGAAGGGCCACTGTCCTGCAGACTTTATCTCCAACCCCAATTAAACACACCTAAACTAGCTAATCAAGCTCTACTATAACCATGCCAGAAACTTCAAGGCAGCAAGGCAGGTGTGTTGAGGCAAGTTGGAGCTAAACTCTGCAGGACAATGACCAAATTTGGACATCCCTGGCTATATGCACACACACACACACACACACACACACACACACACACACGTTGGTTTTTACTGGGACTCTGTGTGTGTGTGTCAAAAGTTTTGAATATTTAAGATCTTCTTAAATGTTTTGAATGTTTGGAGAACTGTTTTTGTGTATCTTCTAAACATTTTTTTTTTTTTTTAAACTTTTTTGTATGCATCAAATAATCTTAAATTGTATCACAGTTTACACAAAAATATTGAGACAGTATGAAGAGAGAGACAACATGGCAACTGATTAAAAATAATTAAATTTTTAACAACATCACATTGCAGAGCTTCAGACCCTATATACACTGGATCTGCATATTGATTATCAGACATATAAACATACAGTGTTGGGAAGGTTACTTTGGAAATGTAATAGGTTACAGATTACAAGTTACCCTACTTAAAATGTAATAAGTAGTGCAACTTTTCAATTACTTTATTAAAGTAATGTAACTGATTACATTTGATTACTTTTTGATTACTTTTCTAAATTTCTAATGTTTTCAACTGTTAATCATTTTCAAACATGTAAACCAGGCACGGTAAACCTTACAGTAGTACTCAACACTGATTACTGTCACACTTTCGAAATCCTTCATCACTTGAATTAAGATGATCAAATTTGAACACATCCACCACAAAATCAGACTTTAGTACCGCCTTTTACTTTGAGATTGATCTGAAGTTCAATGCAGATTTAAAATCATAAGAAATAGTTTACTGATACTGTTTTTGAAACCAAATCTTTGCATAACTACAGGAAACACTGCATCTAACAATGGTTTGGAAAAAATAGTTAAT